ATGGTCGTTGTATTGTTGATGGAGTGCATTATCTCCCGCCTCACATCCACATCTGCTAATGTCCCCGTATGATCTGCATTAGAGGCCAATGCGATGATCATTCTACTCACACACAGCTTACCGCTCCCAATGTCACCACCTATCCGGGATGGCAGAAATGATTTATAGGGAAATGTGTTATCGGGTTTCCATCAAACGGCAAATAGATGGGTATGCTTCAAAATTACAGCTTCAAAATTACAGCTTGTCTGACAGGTGTGGTATTGCTGTGCTTTTAACCATAATATTATTGATTTTAACAGAATATATATTCCCCCCCGTTCCCACCATCCCCCCCCAGCACTCGCTCTTTTCAGAGGGGAGAGCTAGAAGAAAATGTTATCTTAAACTGGCTTTGCAGATCTTTGCCGGATTATTACACTCAGAGCCCTGCTGTGCAATAAGCATCTTGGCTGTCCACAGACGGAAAACAATATGGCTCATATTTTGCATGTGAAGAATAAACAGCTTCAACGATTAAAGAGGACCTGTCATCTTCTGTGATGGTGAAGGCTGATATAGGTAGATGCAGCCTATAAACCCATTAAAGCCAAAATCCAGACAAATATTTATTTTCTTTAATTTTTGATAGACTGTGGAAAGGTTAGAACCTCTGTCAAGTTTTTTTTTGCTGCCTGTGTCCCAATTTGGGAGATTCTTCACACTCTTTTTGTCTATTTGACAAACAAGGAAAAAAAGAGCAAAAATTCCCCCCTTTTTTTTGATAGAACAGGAAGTAAGGGATAATTCCACCAATGGAGACACAGGCAGAAATTAAAATACATTTGTTATTATTTGAAAAATACTTAAAACTTCAATGTTCATTTGATTGCCGTCTCCATAGACCACGCAGAGCCCACCAGAAAAGCTGCAGAGCCCACCAGAAAAGCTGCAGAGCCCACCTGACACCCCTCAGAGACCCCGCAGAGCCCATCTGAGACCTCATGCAGCCCACCTGAGAGACCCTGCAGAGCCCACCTAAAACACAAGTAAGTAATTAAAACACATTTGTTATTATAGTGAAGAATACTTAAAACCTTGATGTTCATTTGATTGCTGTCACTATAGACCCTGCACAGCCCACCAGAGACCCTGCACCTACCAGAGACCATGCACAGCCCACCTGAGACCCCACAAATCCCACCTGAGAGTGACCCTGCGGAGCCCACCTGAGACCGTGCGGAGCATTCCATAGCCCCCTCAGAGCTCACCATAGGCCCCACACAGCCCACCAGAGACCCTGCATAGCCCACTTGAGACCTTGCACACACCGGAGACCCTGCATAGCCCACCAGAGAGTGACCCTGAAGAGCCCACCAGAGAGTGACCTTGAAGAGCCCACCATAGACTCTCTATCGATGGCTCTGCAGGGTCTCAGGTGGGCTGGTTGGGGTCTCTTTCCCTGCACACCTCTTACTAGTCAGCTCAGAGCTGCCTGCTGCTGGGCCATAAGCCTCCTCCAACGCTGGGCCTCAGGCTCCTCCTCCACCACCATCGCTATGGCGGTAGTTACGCCACTGTGCACCACACTTTACTATCCCTCCACTCAGTTGTTTCTTTCACAGAAGTCACATCTCCCGTCTGAGCTCCTCCTGGAGTGGAAGTGAGGTGGATTGTTTTGGAGTAAATTAGCTGGTGAGAATAGACCTGTACAGAGCCAGCACCCTGATTGCAAGGACCTAGAACTAAGCATTATGGGATTATGCGTGTTTTGACCAGTGCTTAAAAAAATAAAACGATTGGGTATTTTTATGAAACCCTACGACTCAATTCTGGATGCTTAGACAGATTTCAGGTCATGTGGACACACCAGAATATATACCCTTGTGTTTTCAAACAATAGTAAAGTGCCCTGAGACTGCTGCTGGGCGCCGCTTTCTTAAAAGTGATGTCAGCAGTCCCAACAGGCTCAGGGCACTCAAGTGACACTCTATAGCAGGGGTATTGAATAAAATTTCAAGGGTGTCCGGTGAGTAAAATTTTAATTGAACAGGGGTCCGAATCGCAGTCCGGACAGAACGGTCATGCAGTCCGTTTCCGTGCTGCGGTCCCCTATTCAGGCTGTATTTACATCAGCAGCTTCACTACAACACACAGTTGCTGGTGTGTGTTAACAGGCACAGTGTTGATGTGTTGATCCTGGAACATCACACTGTTGTCCCCAGTTAGTGGACCCCATCGGAGTGCCCCCTTACATTGGTTGTCCCCATAAGAGTGCCCCCTTACTTTCATAATTAATGTAAAGGGGCCAGCCAATGTGAGAGAGAAATCCTTTGGGAGTTTTCCCCATCAGAGTGCCCTCCTACATAGGTTGTCCCCTTTAGTGTGCCCTTTTATATTTTTCCCACACACCTGCTTTAATTGGCAGGCCAGGGCAGGAGACGGGAGACAGAGCAAGCTGAAGTACAGGACAGAAGGACATACTCTTCTGTCCCTTTTTAATGCCGGGGGACACATGCAACGACACACTGATTGCTAGGACCACCGGCGGACCTAGCAACCAATGACTGTGGAGGAGTTGGACACCTGACATCATTGGTTGCTAAGATGCCAGCGGTCCTAGAAACCAATGACTGTAGAGGTGGTGGACACCTAATGCCATTGGTTGCTAGGACACCAGCAGTCCTAGCAACCAATGACTGAAGTGGTGGGGGGTCTGCGCTATGTTAGGACTGGCAGTGGATGCACTAGCCTCAGAGGCTGGTGTATCCACTGTCAGCCAGCCATAACCCAGTGCAGATAAGTGATCACGGTCCACACAGAACTGCCACTTGGACCACGGTCTTACATTTAGGGAGGCTTGTTCTATATTCTCCTTTACTGCACCCCCAGCAGCTATATAAAAGGTTATGTAGGGAGGGTTGGAGGAGTTGGGCCAGCACAGACAGTAACTGGACACTCCCAGAAAAGGAGAGGGTTATAACGTGCAAAGAGGAGTAGGCTGTGCTAGGGAATTAAGTCTTCCTGAAGATTTATTTCACACATACACTTATTTCTGGTGAGTCAGTGGGGAAAAAAAGTAGAAGTCCCCTGTAAGCTGGTCATATATGCACAAATCCGTCTGTTTAACCATAATTGTAAGTATATTTTCACCAGGCTACTCTGATTCTTCCCAGCTTCCTCACAGCTGGACATAGCAGGTAGCAATATTGCATCCCCTTTTATCTTATTTAAAACAGCCAAACGTGTCTCTCTATCCGGGAAATAAGGCCAGCAATTCAGGTAAAAAGTCCCATTATTACAGCTCGCAAAAACAACCTTGCATTGTTGCCCATTACTAATAACCACAAGTAGAAACAGGCACTTAGACTGCACAATAAACTGAAAGTTATTTCTGAAACTCAGATCATGCAACCCACCATGCACTGATACAAGTTTATTTACCAGTCTTACACCCGCTTTCCATTACTCAGAAATATATAACAGTAGTTAGTGTCCCAGTGTAATTGGAGGGAGTACTACACTCCCCTCTAGCATAGCACCATAGCATTGGGTTTAGAGATTCAGGTAGGTAGTGTCCCAATGCAATTGGAGGTAGTACCATGGCCTTGGGTTTATAGCTGTTGGTTTTCAAGTGCTCAACAACAAAAAAACAATCACTGGTGAGCTGGGATTCCCAGTTATAAAAGATGACATTGTTTGCCAATAGCAGAGATGTCGTTTTTTGACCATCGCACTAAAAGTTACATCTCTACTATCTGCAGAAATGTCATTCTTTCTTGATTACACCTCAATATCCTGTCCATAAAGTTACAAGGGAACCAAGATAATGTCCAGCTCAAGTGTTATAAAAAGATGTAGTATAATAAAATTTAACTTGATATACTGTACATAAATGTCAGTATAGGTGGCCTGTGAGGAGTTGAAACTGTATCACAGCAACCAGATCCGGTTATCTGGTCTATTGGCTATGAACGTGTGATAAGAGAAATAGATTTTAATGTCACACTTCAGTGCAGTGGATTCATCAGATTACAAAGAAAACAGTCACCAAGTCATCCTTCCTCAAGTCCATCCTACAATCATTCAACTACAATATTTCACATCATAGCATATTACTTTTCTACTGCTTATGATAGATAAACAAGTGTTTTTCTGCATCGCTACATCTTTGTGAAAGGAGAACCTCACTCGTGGGGGCATTTATGGTCCTCCAAGTGTTTGTTGCTGCATCCAAAAAAAACATTGAAAGTATTGAAAAAGATATTCCATCTGTTTGTAGCAATGTCAGCAGAGCTTATTAAAACAGAAGGAGGCTAAACTGTGGTTCTGACTGTTAAGAAACTATCCCAAACGAGCTAAACTGAAAATGGAACGGTACAAAGCGCATTGGTGGTTCAAACATTTATCTTCACGAAAAACGAACCAGGCAGACCTTACATGACCATAGTAACTAAAGACCGGCTTTGCAAGTTAGGCCAATACCTGCAATCTAGATTGAAAAACAGCTGAATAAAAATGATATATCCCCAATATCAATAGTGCAGTTTTCAAACCAGTTATGTATGAAAAAATTCAAACTTACTGATCATGGACCAACTTGACTGCTGAAGATTCAGAAAAAGCTTTGTTGACAAATGAATCAAAGAATGCATAAAAGATTAAAGTGTATGTACAGCCAGTTTTGGATAGAGTAGGGAAGTGAGAGGAAATCCCCCAAAGTAATGGTAATTACCATCTTAGGTAATCAAATGTGTCCCGAATGAAAAATTCCTCTCAACTCTAGCTTTTATGACAACTCTAAAATTTAGGATTTACTTGCCATCTTGTTGACAAAGGTCACCAAGGCAAATAGAGGGGTGAGTATTGCAAGCAAATAACCTGGCAGAGGGTCTGGCCGTCTCTTGTTCTATCCAAGACAAAAAAAAAGTTTTGCCTTTACACTTCAAATAAAAGTAATTCAGTGTTATGTTGTATAAACAGCAAAATGTAATTTATACCATAATGGAATAAGGACTTACGCAGTGGAAGGGGTCATGATGCAGCCCCCCTTGTCAAATCCCTTGCAGTTGCAACCCCTTTCCAGAGTGTCATGATTCATTCCAAAGTTGTGCCCGAGCTCATGGGCAAGTGTAACAGCTGCTCCCAGTGGGTTGTCCGAATGATCCTTTGAAAAAAAAAGGGATATGTAAGTAAGTAGAATATAGGCTGAATGTCAGAACAGGTTCGGCTGCCTATGCATCCTGGTGAATTATTTTAGAACTACGGAGTACCATAGAAAAAAAAAAAAGTATGCAGCAGCACTTAATTATAAGAGCATCTGTAAGATAATTTTACAATGGTGATTGTGACTATCACCATTGTCACTGCTGATTCACACGCCATTATCAATCAGTACCTGGCCACACCTAGCACACCTAGTCCTGCTCACAGTTTTCTCGATTGACAGCACTGCCTCTGTTGCTGAAACAAGGGGCAAGAACGTGAGGATTATTAGATCATAAGGAAGGATAAGTTTTGTATAGTTAGGCACTCTTCCCTCTATGTTCAGCATTGAAGAAACAATAGCAATACATTCTGGAAATAGCCAATCAGACTTTAGATGAGCAACATGAACAAGTCCACCAAAAAGTGTATAAATATACCATACAGGACTTGTATTTACAGTAGCTGCTTTGTGCCAAATGAGGGCCCTCTATCCTAGGCCTGGGTTGTATACAGGGCTTTCTACATCAGGATTAAGTGCTGCATCTGCTCATCACTAAGCCCTGCCCAAAGATATTTAACTGGCAAACACTTAAGCCTCTACTTGCCACAGAAGCTCTGGCATTTGACAATTGAACACGAGGCCTGTATTCAGTTTGGATATAGTGTCATTCCCAGGCATAAAAGAACAAACTTTAAGTTCAGCACATGCACTAACAGGCAGCACAGGTATGTGCACCTTACTAGAACTGTTAGTATATTTACTTTGTGGACATGAGAGGTGAACTTAAAATCTTTTTTCCAGTGTGCTGAGAAGAAACAGTACATGCAGGGCCTGTAAAAGCAGAGAAAATGAAATCCATGGTGTTGTTCATCAAAACCAATAGGCTCTTTTAAAAGATCCTATTCTTTAAATATGACATTTGGAACCCAGTTGGATACTTTGAATAGGAATTTTCCTCCATTTTACCAGAACATTGTTTTTGTAAACAGGTGCCCAAAAATAAACGGAATATTTTGGTCACACTAATGCTTAGTATATGGAGAAAAGTATGGCTTTGTCTTTTGTGTCCATTGCTTTAGAAGCTAACAAATTGGAACTGCATGCTGTTAATAAAGCCCATCTATGGTCAAAGCTCAGAACCATGTAGCTGCCAAATCTACCCGTGGATGTAGGTCAGCTGGTATTGGAAAGGCTATATTGTAAGGGCTATATTCCAAAACATGGCTTTGTGTCCTCTAAAGACACACAGAAAAATGTACTTTTAATCCTAAACTCTGCATAATTTATAAACAAGTTAAAGTAGCACTGTATTTGCCCAAAACAAAGTCATGCCACAGGATGGTAGTAGGTAGCATAAAGTATCTGCCATTTCCACAGTTCTCCTTTGTCAGATACTTTTCTTCAGCCCCCTGAAGATCCTGTGCAAGTTTGGAGAGTATACAAGCATATGGTGCTTATTATTTTTTTTTTAGAATACAGAGCTTTTTTTTTTTTTCTCAAGAGTACCGGTCCCTAAACTTAACCTTAGACAATTCAGAGAGTATAAATCATTGATCACTCTATGAACGCGTTTACAAAATTACTTTTCTAAACTAAGATACCTTAGTTTATAAGTATGTTACCTTTAAATGTCCTGTAAAGACTAACACACTGCGGATAACTGGTGCTGTTTCAGAGAAATATTCAATGTTTTACACAATATAAAAAGTGGCAAATGCAAACGAATGCATACTACCAATACTGAAAAAATTACCCCAAAAACAGAACCTGAGGTTTCTCTGGTTCTGACATATCAATGTTAAAACACAGCTTCTGTTGGCTGTGCTATTTCTGTAGCTAGGTTCACCCATTCTCCTGACTTTTCAGCCAACCCGTCTACAACAACTGCTCTAATCAACACATGGCAATCTCTGCCTTTTAAGCGAATGACTTGATTCTGATGACTTTTTCTTGAAAATAGCTGCTTCATTTAACACACGCAGACAAGACTGATGACACATTTGCTCCTTCCTGCCCCAATAATCTGAAGGTGATTACCAGCGCTGAATACAATTGTGCAGCAATCTTTCTTTTTCCGGGAGCCCTGTGACTTCTGCCATATGCAGGCCTCAGAAGGGTTAAAAAAATTGTGGTGCTGTCTGGGCTTCTATTGATTGATGCATGGTTTAATTTATGGCACTGGCAACCAAGGTCTGTTTCCCCTATTCAGCATGTATCACCTTTCGCACAAGAAATAACACTCACATTATGCTGGCACAAAACATTTTTATCATTTGGGCTTTTCAGGGGCACAGGCTTAAATCTTCTTTGCAGACTTTTAAAAAGAAAAAGTTTCTGAACTGCTGAACAAACAACCAGATGGCCTACCCCAAAACAAAAAGTGTATTGTAAAGCCTCATAGACCATCCACCGTAAATAATAGTTCAGCTTTGGCGGCTATGCCAATCAATACCCCAGCTTCTAATATTTCTTGGGCACTCATGGGGGCATCATATGGGTTGAACATAAACCCTTAATGCACTAGCCATCAGAACTGTTCAATTATGTTACATTCTGAATAAATAGCAACAATATGTAAAAAAAATCTGAGGGTTTAATGTCACTTTAAACCAAGAGAAAGTTGTTGGGGGGGGGGTCATAAATGTTGGACCTGGGAGTAAATAATGTATCCTGATAACCAAAAGACAGGATAAATAAGCATGGAATGACCAATAAACCCTAAACAGATCAGAGATATATGACATACATGAATATAATGATGTTCTGTATATTCATTAAAAGTTCTGGTTTTCTGACACACTACCAGAACTTTTTAGGAATATACAGAACATCTTAATATTCATGTATGTCGTATATCTCTGATCTGTTTAGGGTTTATTGTTTTATGTAGACATGTCTTAAAGGAGAACTATGGGGTCAGTGTTTTTCCCCATAGTTCTCCTTAGGGTAACGGGAGGACACAAACTAGCGTCCTCCCGTTACCCTAAGCTCAGTATACCGCGAGCTACAGCTTGCGGTATACTGAGACGCCGCAGCCGGAGCAGATCCCGACGTAGATGACGGGATCCGCCCAGCTGCGTGAGTGACAGCTGGCTCTGCCTATCTAGAGGCAGAGCCAGCTGTACCCGCCCCCTCCCCCGTCCGTTCCGCCAGTCAGCGCTGGCAGATCGGAGCGGGGAGAGGGGAATCCAGCCCCTCCCCCTGCCACGGCAGAGAGCCGTGACAGGATCGAGAGGCGAGCGAACCCGGTATGTGTTCGCTCACCTCCCGATCTACTGAGCCGACCTGTGACAGTCTCATTGTCACAGGTCGGCTAGAACTATGAGGTGAGTGAAAAGCACTCACCTCATAGTTCTACTTTAAAGACAATACCACAATTGCATCAATTGTAATAACCCTGCTAATCACATTTAACATCTAATCTGACCACATCACCTAACCTCACTTTCAGAAAACATTATCCTTGTGAAAAGACAACACATTATATGGAGTCCTTAAGGCTGCTAACGGCTAGGCACTGACAACATGAAAACAAAATTAGCACCGGTGAGTGACCACTCACATGCCATTGTTGGACAGATCTTAACTAAAAAAAAATAGCTCTGGGGGGGCGTGGCGAGCTGCCGAGGAAGATGGCCGTGGTCTAACGGAGCTCCGCAACACCCGGTCCCCAGAGAGCTATCATTAGCCAGCAGAAGCTGGCTAACGGTACTAGCATACCCAGCCCTCGTCCCTGCTACCGGACACCCTGCGAGGGGGATATGAGGAGGAGGGACCATGTTGGAAATTCCCAACTGCTCCCCAATTCCTCTTCAAGCACTTCCCTGGCTACCGGCAGTTGATAGACCCCGCTCTCTCAGCCCTCTGATGAAACACGCCTTGAAAGTGTGGGACTCACTGAAGTATTCCTCCGGTCTGATATCCCCCTCCTTACCCCTTCTCCCTTTACTCTCGCAACCTTTATTTGTCCCAGCATACACTGAACCGACCAGGTTCAGATGGTGGACCGATAATGGTTTCACTAGTCTGTATGATTTCTATCGTACCCCTGTCTTACCGACTTGGTCCTAATTTGTAGTGTTTGCATTGACATACTGTTGATTGTACTACGTTACCTATGTGGCCGCCTGTAGCCGGCAAGCACTGTACAACATGCTGTTTGCATTTACCTTGAAAACCCAATAAATATTTGGATACAAAAAAAATAGCTCTGCCCCCAAGACACAACAGAACTTGCATCTCAAAATTTATTTTAAGTTGGCCATGCTGCCAATCAGCAGGATATATTGGAGGGCGTGAGAACAAAGTATGTCAAGGAGTCAGATTCTGTCCTGCAAATTAACTGCTTCTGATTTTTTTATTTTTTTTAGAATAGGAAATAGTTTATTCGGACCAGTTAAAGTGTTGACTCACTATGCTCTCACAACACGTGAGAACATAGTGACTCAACACTTTAACTGGTTCGAATAAACTATTTCCTATTTTAAAAAAAATAAAAAAATCCATGTTTCTATTAGACCAACATTCTTAAAAATACAACATTTTGAGGAAGGTGATGGCATCACAGTGGCATGAGTTATATAGTATCTTAGAACACATTAATGACTTTTAGTTACTATCACTAGGTTCTTCATAACACAACATTGCTTTTGATAAAGATTGACAGGCATTCTTTAAATGTAAAATGAATTCACTTCACGGCGGGCAGCAAGTTTACCTGCTGTATTTTTGCATTTAATGAAGTCTTTATTCATTCTTAAACGCTAAACTCTAAAAGATGCTTAGTATCTTAAAAGCCTTCACCAGTAAACAGATGTTTGTCTTGTAGATCACATCTATGATAGTGTATGTAAACCCCAACATTAAACTATTTGCTCCCTTTTGCTCTGTTACATATACAGTTCAAAATAAAGTGTTTTGTTATACAGAAAAGAAAGCATGTTACTGGCGGGAGCAACAGGTGAAAATGAAGCAAATAAAGCCCCCCGGAAAAAGAAAGGGACTGGTAAGCTGCAATATTAAAAAGGATGTTCTTTAGATTCACTGTCAGACATATTCACTTATGTACATTACATCTGGCATAGCAGCCCCTCCCGATTTTAGTTAAAAAAAAAAAGTCATTGCATTGCAAACTGTCTCAATTACAGGGAGCGAACAACACAAAGTGTACCGTAAGCACAGCTTTAATTGGCCACATGTTCCTGTAAAGAAGAGGGATTTAGAGAATCTGGCCTGCAGCTTTCTGTAGTGTTTAACAAGAATTCTTAACATGCTGTGCCAGCTTGAATCCGCAACCTTTTTCTATCTTCATATAGAATGTGTACTTAATTCACAGTTGCTTATGAAAGCTTTGTGTTTGCATCATTCCCGGCATCATTACAGTTCTCTAGAATGTAGGCTTACTTGGCCTGGGATCTCTCCCATATTGCTTCTTGTTATCGCTGCAGCTTGCAATGCAACTGTATAGACTCATGTTATATCATTTTAGCTATTGCATTATCTGCACTACTTTTACTTGTTCTATCTATGAAATTGTACACAATAACAATAATAAAATGATCCAAGACTGTAAAATTCACAATGTTATTTCTGCTGATGCAGACGGGATTGTTAATTAGGTGGCGGGTCAAGTTCAAGCTCTGAGACAGATTCATCAACATTAGGGTGAAGGAATTATATTCTACAACTTTTGCTTTCCATTTGAAGAGAAACTATAATCTTTGTTACAGCACAGCTCTAGCAGAGGAGAAATAACCCCAAAAATGCTTTATTATGAAAGAAACATAGCTGAATAAGAAGTACCTAACTTTCAGATATTGTAGAGACTTTACAGATGTTAAAGAGAATGTCACCTTTATCTTAGAAAAGACAACAACAGCACTTTTAGAAATGTTCAGTAATGATAATCTACAAACAGATGCAGACGGATAATTAGACATTTTTCTTTCCATTCCCATTCTGTTCACTAAGGGCAGATGTATCCATCTCCATTTTCTTCCTGTAACTCTGGGTCTGCCTCCTGGAACATGTGACAATGCACATCATCTGGGGGGGGGGGGGGATTTTGGTGTCACCCCTCTCTAAAGTCAGGCCCTCGGTCATGGACAGAGAGCCCGACAGTGTTAGGAGAGGGGAGGGGACCCAGCAGCATACCTCATCCCCTCCTCTCTGCCGGCGTCCATCACCAAGATGGCCGGTGGAAGGTATCAATCAGATGGCTGCGGATGCGCAATGACGCGGTGACACCCGGCCTTGGGACGCCCCTGGCTGTCATGAAATTTAGCAGTTTACGAATTAGTTTTCCCAGGAATGCACTGGTGATGTTTCCTTCCCCGGATGTATCTGTGGGACCAGGGCTACATCACCAGTGCCTCACTCAACCAGGAAGTGGAAAAACAGTAATTGTAAGTTAAAGCAAAAAAAATTTAAGCATGTGCAGCTAAGTCTTGACATGGTTCTTTGCACAGGTTCTTTTACATCATTCAAGCCCCAGCCAATCAAGAGGCTGAAGATGCAGAACACAGAAGAAAACCAGGAGACAATGGGTACACCGGCAATGGAGGGGGCATGGACATCACCGCACTGAAGGGGATCGCTTGTAAAGTAAGTCTGCCATAATGTGCTTATTTACTGTGCATACTAGCACATTATGGCAAACACCTCCTGCAGGCCCATAATTTTGTTTTACGGTTGGTGGTTTGCTACCACTTTGATGTATACAACACGAAATGAAACACTGCAACCAGGGAGATTATTGGCTAAGAGAAACTAAAAACCTTTCGCTTATGCCATCCCCTTCCTTACATTTAAAAAAAAGTGGTTTATTCTTTATTTAATGACAAATCATTCTATCATACTCTGAAAGCCGATTTTCCATCCAGAATTGCTGGTCTATCGCATAAGTACTGTAGATGTAGAGTTGCAAACAAAGGGCATGGCTACAGCCACATTTCTTAGGACATTATTATTATAAACCAGTAGGAAAATTAGGCAGAAGCCCTTTATTGGACTTGTGATTGAAATACGATTTGAATATCTGCTGCTTTAACAACATGCTGTTTTTTTTTTTTTTTTTAAAGATGCCAGGAAGCCAAAACAAAACTGCAGCAATCTACAATGACTCCATCATGTAGTTTTTAAGTGGAATAGTGCATTATAGGAAATTTAAAAAGAGAAAGTTTAATAACCAATCATAATGGTGCTGTAAATATTCTATTTCAGGCTAAATGATTGCCAACATCTGCTTGGTAGGGGCATCATTTCATACAAACGAAGGACTCTACCGTCAATCTTGCAACCAATGGAAATAACAGCTTCCTATTTGGCTAGGGTGCATATTACAGGCTTTGAAGACCAGTGTTGTATTAAGGGTGAGCAGAGCATTCTCCGTTTAATGAAACATTTATGAGAGGCCTTGCAGAAGTCAGCAATGAAAGTCAAGCACTAAGAAAACAATTAGCAGAGTCATTATGGGAACAAGCATGCCTGCGGGCTTTCTATGAAACAGCTGTGTGCATTAATCTGGCCACCTTTTCATTAAGCAATTAAAAGATGCTCCTACTATATTTATGATTAGTGTCTGAAGTTCCCATGAAGCCTGGTTAGCTAAGTCCCCTTTCATTATTCAGTTTTCACACAGTCTGATACAGAAAAAGAAAACATGTTGTAAACCTTTTCTAGACTCTCATTTGAAGACAAAGTTTAACACTTTGGCATTTTGGGCAAGAGGCTTTAGGCATGGCAACCTAGACTTAAAAAAATGAATATCCAATAATGACACAGAAAGATTTATAACAAGACATTGATCATTTAGATGTTATTATGTGACACTGACATGTGCAGGATAAGAATGCCTAATCAAGATATTCTTGATTACCAAGACAAGAAGTAAATATGAGTATACAATTTTGTCCATTTCCTCTTGACAGTGTTGGTAGTTTACTTATGTGTAGAGGTAAAGCACATTAACATGAGACCATTCCCCAACACTTTTAGTGCATAAAGGAGTCACACAATTTAAATGTTTACTATGACAACACTGTAGAAGGGTAAATGTCTTGTACTCTTACAGGAAAACGATAGTTAGGGGTCAATATAATTATTTTTTCCATAATTGTTTTATATATTTTTATTATAATGCCTTCACAATCTTTGTTTTACAAATAAACTGTCCAGGCCATTTTTCAGTAGTTAGTACTGCAGTATTTTGACTGACGTTTATTCTGTCATGCAACGCTGTACTGAAATAAAATGTATACCATTTTTTGGGGACACATAGAGCTTTCTTTTGATGACATTTAATCACCACTGAGGTTTTTATTTTTTACTTTATAAAGAAAAGAGTACAGAAAAAAAACCTGTTTCCGCTACGTTATGTTATGAAACTTTTATTATTACCCAATTTTTTGGTAAAATATAAAAGATGGGGTCATGTTGGGTAAATAAACACCAAACATGTCAAGACTTAAAATTGCGTGTGCCTGCAAAAAAAACCAAAAACTACCATACCCAAAATTGGCCATAGGCGACGCTTTAAAAACAAAAAATCTGCTTCGCCAGCTGCTCTCCAGCTACAGAAGCCGGAGAAATGACAGCGGAAGGTGGAAGTGATGTAATACACATTACTTCCGCATTCAGAAACCAGAGGGGAGATCATCTGCTGATCTGCCTCCGAGCTCCGTTCACAAATCTGTCATGCACGGGATAGGCAGCGGGGGGAGAGGGTTGGGGGGACATGCAGACATCATACAAGCGATCGGGCAGCTCTATGTAAACAAGCATCACTGGCTGTTTAAATTACAGTCGATTTCCTGCTAGTGTGGGAGCAGTGTGCAGAAACGGAAGCGGGGACATGACATTTTAAAAAGCCCTCCCGCATCTAGGAAGCCACCGTCCGACCATTTAGCTGCAACAGCCAGACGGAAAGTGATTAATACATGGCAAGGGATTCCCAAAACACTAAGAGCAAGTTAAAGGGATAACTTGGCAAACTCTACTTTCTTTGCAGTTCCCTTTGAGTAAAACTTGGTATTGAAATATCTAATAAGCAATAAGTCACTGCTGTGATGACTCATTGAGTTCTGTAAGCCAATGGCCTTCTACGGTGTTTCATCCACAAAGATATAATTATAAATGTGAAAAGGAGACACCTGCTAGCTCTAAAGGAAAAGGCAAAATATAAATATGCAATATTTCATATGTACCTGACTCAATAACAAAATATAGATTTTACAAAAATTTTTTTTTTTTTTAACCCTTACCATAAAAGAAAATATTAGCATAGCTTTGGTTCAAACCTTTGTAGATGGTTAAAATGTATCCAAAACCAATTTTTTTTCATCTGTTGTTCTGACTTTTTAAAGCAAACCTGAAATGAAATAAATGGTAGAAAACTACCAACTGGAAGTGACTGAAGGCACCTGTGCATAGTTTTTAAACTTTCTGCTATCCTAGCAGATGTTGCTACTTGGGTAATAGAACACCAGATGTCAGGGCCCCCTAGACCTTCTAGAAGAAAGCTGAAGCTATATGTAAGGGTCTGAGGGGACATGCTATTGAACACAAGTGTTGTTACATTACGTTAGCATTACTTCAACTAGAAACTGAAAAAGATAACACTAAGATTCCTTTTAACACTCACCATAACCACGCCACCAGATTTGTCTGCTGTGCACATGCTCATGATGGGTGCCATACCAATCGTCGTTCCCTGGAAGTGCACCCCGCTGTAATTAAAAAAAATATGTAAGAGGTTAGCATACATTATTTAATACGAATATCATGTTTCTATTTTCACATATAAGGAACGCTCCTCCATTGTTCTGGCTACGCTGCAGAGAAAACGTTTCATTACTCACATTAAAGCTGCCGGAATGGAAAGACATCTCATTTCTACAAGCTCCCATTAGCATTGTGCTGTCACTGTATTCATCTGAATATCTGTCACAGACGTTATGGGGGCAATGAAGCACAGGCATGGACACAGCATAGAGGAGGGAGCTGCCAAACAGCCATCTTAACTTAATGTTAACTGCTTCGCACTGTCTGCATGATAGAGTGATGGTTAAAGTGTGCATATTTTTTTAAACCACAGACAGGTTTTCAAAGTTTATTTCCCGTGCCATATAAATCATGTGACAAGCATTTACCTTCTCTTCCTTCACTTTTTATACAGAAAAAACATATAAACAGCGCTCTCGGATGGGCAACAAATTAGCGTAGAGGCGTGTGTGCAGCCCTGGAAAACAGGAGGAGAACCTGTGGATTGTAAATGTTCAAAAAACCAAGAAAGGGCGCAGAGAACACTGGCTAGTTAACAAAGTAGTGATGAAAAACTGAAGGTACACTTTTTATAGCTGACCTGTGCTGAAAGAAACATGGAGGGCTTCTAAGAATACTAGTTGTGCAGCCGTGGCTTAAATACTTTTACCCAGCACCAAATGCAGATGGAGACTGAGATTAGGATGCCTGATCTGGGTACTTGTTCTAGGTTAGCGCCTCAAAAACTATTGAGGTCACTGAGTTAGTATGACAACCATGCAAGTAGCATTTGCAGAAGAGGACACCAGCTGCCATATTCTCTCCTTTTTAGAAGAGACAGGGTCACTTTAACCCAAAGATAACTGATTAACTTTTTTTTTACAGCGGCATAAATGAGCGAACATCTAGTCTTACTGTTTATGACCTAAATTACTGAAACCCATTATAGAAATTAGGCAGAGGCATTATTGCCTGTTAAACACCATATGTAAGGTCAATAAATCCTTGAAAATAACCGTAATCAAAGTGATTCTGGAAAACGAAGGAAGAGGATTTTACCAAAAAGTTAACATTTATTTTCCTTTATTTCCATTCAAAGTTCGGTGGAAAGAATTATTCACCCCAGTAAGACGTACCTATGTAAAATCAATCCATGCACTCTAAAAATCATACTGCAATGCACTTTGGTGATTTCTGAAAAAAAAAAAAACGTATTTCCTGGTCATGTACTCAATCTGGGGCTTTGTTCAACTCAAACTGAAACAGACACACTATTTCTCTACGGAATGCCAGGAAATTCTAATCTAATTCAGAAGAGAGATTCCCTAACCAGTCTAAGCCTTTACATGACAAGTAGAAGCTGGAAACTATTAGGTCTGCATCTCCTCCAAGAAAAAGCACCATAATAGACAGCAAGCACCTAGTACGGAAAAGCTCGATTTTGCTTCTGAAAAATACCTAGTCAAGTACAAATTGGGTGAAAACAAAGGTGCAAAATGCTGTAATGCATTTTTCTCTAGTTTAGTCTTGGAGCTGGAAAAGTATCTGTACTTGTACTTGTACCGAGTACGGTACTTGGTATCGGTGCACCTCTACTGCGAACTCCTGAATTCTCTTCCCTCAGTTTTGCGATACAGTGCACATCGCTCGCAGGGGCCATTCTCTTCCTTATGGAGAACAATGTAAGACATTTTACAATTTGCTGAAAAATATTTCTAGAACCATCAATTCCAGACTGATTACACTTCATAGAACGTTATTGCTGTGACATAGACATTCGTCACAATTATCAGAAGTATTCCTGAAACGGGCTGTATGGCCCCCTCTACAGAACAATCTCATTTGAGCACTTGAAGTGATTGATTTTGCAAGCAAATATTTTTTAGAAAATTGGAAACTCTCTGAGATTGTTCTCCATAGTGATAGGAATGGTTCTTGCCAGTTGTGTGCAGGGTATCCCCGAGGAGAGAAATTGCAGGGGATGGGGAGATAAATGGCAGATAATAGGCTTCATTCAGAGAGAACACACTGAGATAGGGAACATTATTATCAAAACAGTAAAAGCCATTTTCAATAAGATTTAAAATTACAGCCACATGACTGAAATTTAGGGCCTTAGTTTTGTGAATTCAGCCTGAGGGTGAAAGGCTTGGTTTTTCAGTGTTTGATATGTGTTCCAAATGCATGTTAAACGCAAATCAGAAAAATCTTAATTAGCAGTACATATTGGCAGTTCAGAGGCTGCTTTCGACCTGCTTTGCGTTGCACTGCATTTCTTTAAAAGCAGCATGCCCTATTAGGGTGTGTATGAACTGCAGACATAGCAGGTCGAGTGTAGCCTTTGTTGTCAAACACTGCATTTTCCATTCGAATGCAGCTGCATGTGTTTCATGAAAAACTCAGTATTTGCCTAGAGTGCCCATTGATATGAACCTTTACGCAGTCAAAACCACCTATTCTGCTATAGTAAAAACTCTGCCAATGATTACCTTTAAGGCCCACTCCACCCAAAATCTAGATCTTAGATTTAAGATTGGGAAATCATCTTCCAGCTTGTTACATTTATGATATCAACCACCTAAAACATAAATGTTGTGCCCTCATCTCCCTTCCTTGGTGTTTGTATTCAGCTTGTTATATTTCTTAGAAACTCTAATGATTTCTCAACAGTGTTTTGTGTTTCCACACCACACACAAGGACATTATTAAGGTTTAGCTCTCTTATAGACACAATTTATTATACATTGATCCATATTGTAAAGAATCCCTAAGAGGGGGACAACAATGTAATTTGATCATTTAATGGCTGCAGCACTTGGAAGGAAATGGGTACTGTGATGCATTTGTCTTGCCACTGGAAATCCTAAAATATATGAGAAGCCAACATGAACATTAAACTGCCAGCAACCATGCAAATCAGATCTATTTTGAATAGTGCTGAGTGTTGCAGTCTCTTCAGACCTTTGCAGTGCAATACTGCATGTAAGTGTAATACATGCAGTATTACACATGTTAATGTGTGTGGCACCATGGCAGCTTGTTTAATATACAGCAATTGACCAAAACCTGGATATGCAGCATGTGTGCTGTCGTGCACTGCAGAAGGGGTCCATTGGCACCTACCATACCTGTGTGGTGGGGTGCCATTCTAAATGAAAGACACCATAAGATATCACACAAGGTGCTGTGCATTACAGTAACAAGAATTTCTGAAACGCATAGGCCTGAAGAGGCCCTTATACTGAGCCTGAGTTCTATCTGGAATGCAGTCCACTGATCCATATATCCAAGCTGTGCAGGGACAGTTAAGTCAGAACTCTAAAGAGCAGGTCACACTGGGTTTTATAGTTTATTAAAAGCTGCCGGGATGTTTGCGGATTTCGTCTCCTGAATGGCAATCTGATTTGTCTCCCAATCTATATGAGCTAAGTGAATGGAAGAGCAGACCTTACTAGCTGTGCATTATCGTGAGCCTTCTGAGGTAGTAACGTAAGCTTCCTCCAGTCCAGGAACTCGTGCAGGCTGGTGAAAGGATCTTGAGTTATTGAGCACTTATCCACGTCACTCCAAATCTCAACACCAACCAGTGCCACACGAATATTTAATTGCCTGAAAAACTGAAAATATAAATAACATTTACAAGTAAAAAAACTATTAACACATAGAAGATGAACATATATATTTCTAAACTCAATACAGAATATTAGAAGTGCCACAAATGTATCACGAGCAAAATTAAAGGAAAAAAAAATCAACATTCTAATATTAATTAGATGAAGGTTACACCATCCTAAGAGTTATTTCATTAAATGCAACATTAAATCAACTGATAATTCCCTTAACATGCCGACTTGGTATTAATCAGTAAAGATTCCAATTAAGACAGGGAATCACGGAAAAGTGAAAGGAGTCTTTTCATCTATGATGCAGAATTTATTTCTCCAAAGTTCAGTACGCTACAGGCTTGTCTTATGGGGGCTTTCGGCTCTGAGTCAAAATGCAGATAATGTTGATTTTTCCTTGAAAAGTAGACACACGGATTATATTCACAATGGTAATGTAAACTCGTAATGTGAAACATTGACTTGTCAACATTTTTGCCATTTATGTATTTGCAATCTAATCTCCCAATACACATATTTTACAAAGCATAATACAATCTTTAACAAATATTTATATATGCAGGCTTATTATGTTTGTTTAACTGTAATCCACCAAAAAATAGTATGTGTGAGAACTCCATATTTCATAGGATACGTATTGTATGTTTTAAAATATTTTACTTCTTATGCAGCAGGCTCTGTCTGTCTTTGTCTGTTTCTTTACACACTATATGACCATAAGTCTGTAGACACCTGACATCACACCTATATGAGATTGTTGGACAACCACAGGCATTAATATGAGAGTAGCCCTGCTTTGTGGCTATAATAGCCCCCACTCTTCTGGACAGTTTTTCTACAAGAACCTGAAGTGTGTCTGTGCGAGTTTGTGTTTATTCAGATATTTGTAAGGTTAGGTACGAATGTTGGGTAGGAAGACCTGGCTTACAAGCGTTCCAAGTCATTCCTGAGGTGTTCAATAGGGCTGAAGTATGGGCTTTGTGCAGGCCACATGAGTTCTTCCACAACACATTAGTCAACAATGTCTTTATGGACCTGGCTTGGTTCACCTGAAATAAGTTCTGGAGGGTCCACATACTTTTGGCCATAAAATGTACTTCATTATCAAATAATCTTACTTAGAAGACCCAGCTTGAGCAATCCATGGAGCTCTATTATGCAAATCTTCACTTCAGGAGACAAAATTGTGCATGACTTCATAGAAATCTATGTGATGCAAACAACTTGATTACTCCCTGGAGATTTTCATGTCTAAGAACAGGACTATTTAATTGCATCCCAAGTGATAGTAATCATCCCAAATACAGTTGCAACAGTAGCTGATGTGTACCTCAGCTGATTATCAGACCAACTACAGAGCAGCAGGAACATATGATGGTCAAGCTTGACTGTAGAACTGTGTGATTGCTTGCAATTTATCTGGTTCAAGCATGATATAGCAAGTATAATAGAGAACCAGTATCACAGATTTATAAATCAATCCTGAAACAACTGTGGGGGAATATTGATGAAACTGTAGTGCAATCTCAACCCCCACATGCAGCCACCAGATCATGAACTGTACTGCTAAAAAACACATACATACCTGAGCCCTCAGAGGATGATGTGAGTTGTAGGTAACCTTAGCAAAAGTGAACACTCCTTTAGCTCTCATTCTACAGCCCATTTTCAAATATTCTACTATAACTTTTTTGTTATGCTTCCTTAATTTCTTTAACCAGTTTATATTTAATTACATGTTCAGCAAATGCAAAAATTCTATAATATGATATGATTGCAACTGGTGGTCAAGCAAAGTCTAACCCCCAACTGCCATAGGAGCATGGAAGCAGTGTATGTATTGGAATCTAAAGAGCTCCCAAATTAAAATGGTTTTAAACAAAATACAGCAGGGTAGAACTGGTTTTCACTGCACGGCAACACATGGCACATAATGAGTGTGCACTGATGTGCGGTGTGATCGTGTACTGCTGTGCAATACGTTGTTATATCAATTTACAGTGCTCACTTTGTTTTTTTTTTTTTTTATTCTATGTTAATTATATGCACTTCAGTGCATTGCAACCTGTTGCAGAACAATGTGCTGAGATGTGATTAAATGATGTCTGCTGTACCATTTTATCACAACATAAACCAATGCAGAGAATTGATTTAAACAGGCCCCACACAAAGCACATTTTGCCTCGTCTTTGCATTGGGACAACATTGGGCAACACTGCCCAACATGGCTGGTGTGAACAAGCCCTTAGAAATATAGTTTTTTTTTTCTGTGACTATAATTTCTCCTTTGGATAATTTCTCCTTATTGTGTCATGTCCACAGGGCAAGAAGTGAAGGTAAAACTTTCCAACAGTAATACAGACAAAGGAAACTGTATCTGTAGGGTAGTTTTCTGAAGGGGTTAATCTCCCCAAGTGTCACATTGATTGGCAACAACTCAGGTGGGATAGCTTCAAGAAGCTGGCCAGCTGGGAACATGCACAACTTAGGCACGTATGTATAATATGAGTTTGCAGACCCCTTTTATAAGGTTTTGAACAGTAGAACCATATGTGTTAAATCGAATTATCTCCAACAATCAGATAGTAATGCCATCCTGCACACTTATTTGATCGTGCCAAGAACATTAGATGGGCCTTCTTGTCTTAATAAGACACCCTCACATCAAAATTAGAGGACAGCAATCTTGGCATTGAACATATTGTTCCTTAAGCCAAGGTCAATAAACTTGTTTATAATGTTATGCCTCTAAACTCTAGTTACCTAAATACCTAAATATCTTACATTAACTCTAGTTACCTCCATCTACAAAGTTAAATGTCCTACATGTTTCTTATCCTCACAAGTCATATATAGGTATTATATGTATATATGGTGTTTCCACTATACACTTGTGTGCTATATAAATGCAGACTTATGTATAAATCAGATTTTATAATATGTCCATTAAGCAAAATATTAAGCTTGACAGTGAGATTCAGCAGGGATCATCAATTTTTCCTACACAGTTTTCTGCTCACTTCTTATTTCAGGGAGAGGTGTTACTAGTAAGAAAAGGTCTTCCCCAGTGAAGAGAGCAAAAAAAAAACTTCCCACGCTCTATGTAAAACTTAAAAATAAATGACTAGAGTTTTACTTTAACCTACTACCACTTTAAATGGTTTTCACCCACAGACTAGATTTTATAATCTATGAATTTTCCTCTTTGCAGATTTCTCTTATTCTACAAAAGATGAACCATGCAGAACATTACAGTCACATGCATAATTTAAGTCAGAATATGGTGCTACACAACTCAGGATTTTTGGTATGATAATTACAGTCAGTTTTAAATGTTATCATCTCTAACAGTTAATGCGAGAGCTCTCCTGCAAACAAAATGTAATGCAGCCTTGTGATAATGTAGTGAAAGAGAAGGTACATTATTATCATGTCTCAAAGGGATGGATTAATGGACGTCATACTTGCAGAACACAGGGCTTACTGGTATGAGCAAAAACACAATTTTTCCCCAGAAGGGGGTCCCGCCATTATTCCAAAGTATGCAACACATTTTCATAAAAGTGTATTTTAAATATACTAAAAAATGCACACATATCAAAAAACATATCAAAACACAAACAAACATATGTATGACTGCATTCGGCTAATGATTTAAGAAATGCATGTGGACACAAAAATGAATAGAGGGCACACCCTGGGATGCCCCAATATAGAAGTGTAATTATTATACTTGGGATCAGGAGAGTGTCCTTGTATCTAGAGCTCCCAAAGAGTAGGAAGGGGATATCCGTTTCCCAAGGCAAAAAATAGACTGAGAGGTTCACATACACGTGTATGAAGGCGAAAAAAGTAAAAATAAAAAGCAAAGTCAACATCAGAAATACTTCATTTGGTTTGTAAAAATATAGGTTGCACTCACAGTGATGTATTCTTTGCCCGTGGGCCAGGATCAGGAGATCGGGGTAATTATACCACTGATGTAAATGGATCCAGGCTGTAGATGCGAGTGGTTCAGGAGATATTTAGCTTTATCTCGGCTTTCTCATCCCCCTCGTGGGAGTATGCCTTTACTGAAACAAATGCTTTAATTCAAATGATGGTTATATCCAAAGTAACAAAAAGGAAGAGAGAATATATCCTTTTGACTGGATCCCTGTAGTGCGGATTTGGATTCTGCTCATTGGTATTGCTTTATCCTCCTGAATGAGGATCAAAAGATCGAAGTGATTTGGCCGTCAACCATAACGAAACTTAATGATGAATGCAGTGAGCTCAGGAGACAAATAACCTTATCTCGGCTTTCCTGTTCGCTGTAGATATAAGCCTTTACTGGACAACTGCTCTGGTTCGTTTGTTGGCTGTATCTCACTCAGAGAAAAAGGAGATCCTCTTTAGCTGGATCCAATGGTGTGTATATATATATATTACTCTGCTCCTGAATCCATCAAAAAATGACTTATTTCCAGCTTTGAGTTCTAGAATTTCTCCCGTAGAACATACCAAGTATCATGTAGCCATGAATGGAATATGGGGCAAAAGAGGCAGGGCGGCCTCAGCCGAAGCAGTCATATTGAAACACCTAGCCCACGTTTACTGGTATGACTCTCCTTTGATAAAGCACTTGTGTATCAATCTGCATGATACATCGAATGCATGTGCAAAAGTCTGATAATGTTTACCATCACAGGATATAGAAACAATATAGCAATGTAATGTCCCTATTGAAGAAAAGTGGCCAGCATCCAAAGCACTAATTAATAATTGTCATAAAGACCCAAATGTTTAAACGCTACTCCAGGCTAGAAGTAAAACATATTGGTGAACTGTTAATACCATCTAGAAAACCCTGCAACTGGGTCTTACCAAAAACCAGTCAATTTGAATCTGCCAAACCTGTCAGGTGCCACAAAATATGTCAATTAACAAAAAAAATTGGTAAAGAGCAGGCGCCAAGTACCTATCTTTATCTACTATTCCCATTTGATTTGGAGGGCTCCAGGTCCCATGCCAAGTCTGCCACACAGGGCCTCAACGTCTGTCCAACTCAATGGCAATACCAGCTGCTCCCATGTGACAAACAAAAGCCAGTGGAGGGTTTGGCATTGAACTAAGGGTGTGGCACTGTTAAATAATAGGAAGGAATCTTAGTGCTGGAAGGAAACTGGGGCTAATGCCGACTTTCACAGAAATCTAGACTGTATACAGTCTAAGCCTGGGGCACCAAGGTCCAGCCCAGGCACATGGTAACTCATTTCAAGATGAAAACAGGTTTTTGCACATAAAACAAGGTGCCTGCCCATACCTGTATTGTTACTTTACACTTTTGACAGCCTTTTGCAGGTTGAATGTAATCCAATCCAACCAAAATGTAAAACTTAAAGAAAAAAGCCTTCCCGTTGTAGTTCTGGGTAGGATTTATTTCTTCTCACATAACTTTCTACTTTCTCTCTCTTTTACAGCACAAATTTTCTAGCAAGGGGGTGGCCTGGTGCACTGCAGTTCTGTCTAAAACAAAGAAACCATGGACACCCCACACCCCAAACACACAAACGCCTAATACTAGGTCAACGTTTTTAAATCTATTTTAGTTTTGACAGAGTGGATAAGAGTTAGCAGTTTGTGTTGGTAACCTCATTGGGTAACTTTTTCTTTACTTTCTGTCCTTGTGACGCCTGTACAAGAAATAAAGGGAGTAGTAGTCTTGGGGAAAGGAAGACAAAGAGGGCAATAAAAATATTGTCATAGGCTCCAACCCACAATTTGTTTTCCCCTGTACCCCTGATGGAAAGATTTTCCATTACCTCCAGACAGGAAGTGATGAGAAATCTCCCCACAGAAGCTCTAACCCTTTCAAAATCTATCCAAAATGAAATCTAAAAAATGGGCTGCAGTTGGGCTTGAAAAAAAATCTGGGAAATACATAAAATAGACAAAATATGACAGGTTAACGAACTGTGAAAAAAGAAAATAAAAACGCTCATAGATTGTTACTAGGAAACCCTAACACTAGACAATGCCCAGTGCACCACAGCTATGCATGAATAAAAAAAGAAATGTTTGGTCTTTGATTCTGCAGGCCAAACAAACATTCTCAATGGCCTCATCATAGTTTTTTTTTAACTGTCTATTTATGCATTCTTCTAATTAAATAGAAAGAAATTATTCATTTTCTTTCTGCATCCTTACACAGTCTCCGAGAAGCAATGCTCAGGAGGAAAGAGACGCAGTACATAATTACCAGCAAGGGGCTACAGTCCCATTGAGGGGTCCTCTGAAAGCAGGGCTCAGTCTACCATCAGAAACAATATATAAAATTCAAATTACAGTAAACTGAATCTGTCACGAAAAAGGGCATCTGATGCATAGCAGTTCACCAATTAAATATCCGCAGTTGCTGCTGAATTTCACAGTGTATGGATTAATGTTAAAGTATAATAGAAAATTCCTTTTTGGTACACGTTAAATAATTATTTGCAGTGTCCACACAGAGTTGAGCACTCTTTTTATATAGCGGGGTCATAAACTCAATTGAAAGAAGTCAAAAGGCTGATGCTGCACTGATGATTACTTGGCAATAGCAGAATTAATTCAAAATGTAAAAAAAGAAAAGTCAATTCTGCAATGTCTCAGTGTACCTACAATAAACATGTTGATCCCGCCTCACATGTGATAAATTTAGATTGGGAAAAGGATGTAAACAAATGGCTTCCCTTTTAGTTTGGGATAGAATAAGAAAGGAAGAAAGGGTTAAAACCTTATTAATTCTTATTTATTTTTTTGCTGTCTGTTTCCAGTTGAGGAGATTTTCCTTCACTTTCGGTACTGGAGAAGCAGGGAATCTCTTCAAAGTGAATGGAATTCCCATCTTGGAAAGCTGTCACATGAACAGGTGTCCTCCACAGGAGGATCTTCCCTCACCATTTAAAAAAAAAAGGGGTTCAAAAATTCACAAAAAGTTTTACAGCTTGCACACAGTGACCGGTCAGGTTTAATCTTTTATACTTTGAAAACTAAACAAGAAATACCATAGGTAACCATGGGCAGGCCTTCCATGTAGGTGAGCACAAAAAAAAAAAAAGAAAAGCAAAATTGAAAGCAAACCAAACATTTATCTCAAAACGTTAAATGAATGACAAATGGAAGGCACCCACCTTATCTACATAATTGGCCATTTCTAGAAGCCGGTGTTTAACTTTGTCCACATCTTTTCCTTGTCTCTGAAACTGAGAAAAAGAAACAGAAGAGAGTCGTCACCAACTTTTCTATAAACAGCAGGAGATAACTGTAATTAGCATAATCTTTGCACCTGCAAAAATGGCTGCCAGAACTACTCTGTAATCTCGGAACATTTAGCGGCAATCTGGGAAAGTATATGATATGATTCTCAGATTTCAGATGGCACAACGGCAGCTCAGGGAAGACTGTTATAATTATTGTATGCAGAGTTGTTTAGATGTGCAAGGAAGGATGGGGATCCAATGCCCCATTATTCCTCTGCTTGGAAAATGATGACCCCTGTTGGGAGTCAGTTTATGCAACACTTTTCCATTCAAAAAGTGATATATGAAGGGCAAAAAAGTGTTGTGATAATATCTGCACATTTGTGCCTATAAGGATGCACCCCCTTCATAATTATCCCTGGGCATATATACATGGAGTTTATTGTATTAATTATTCACTCATTTTGTCCTCACCATCCAATCCGCAATTACAACATCTGCATAACAAATGATGCATGCTTTGGGGAGCCATACCTAAATCTCCAATCACATCACCTCCCAGTTGAAAGACATGCTGGAATCCAACACATACAAGCAGGGTCATATTTACTCTCTCTGCAGCCCCAATGCCAGGTTCCTCAATGCGCCCCCCCACCAAACCCCAAAATCTGGCCCTGCATACAAGTGCCATTTCCAATGAGGCCGGGGGCAGTGTCCCATGGGCTAGACCTGGATGTGACCTGCAGTTAGGCCCTGCCCCCAACCACACATATTATGAATAACAATATTTACTTTTTTTCTACTCTTGAGAGAAAATGAGTTGTATGAGCAGGTTTTCATATTGTGGCAGTGCGTGGCTATGCCACGGTGTAGTATGGCAACTTTGGCGCCCAGGACTCTCAGCCAGAGGGGCTGAGAGGTTCCACAATGTGAATACCTTTGGAGAGGAGGAACTGGCTGTTCAAAACTCTACTCTACACATTACTACATGTCCTTCCTGGCATAAGTGATTCTCTCTGTACCATTTACTAAGTGGTTTCACTGTTCACATTATTATCCTGTCTTGCTAGTAGACTTTTGAAAAGAACTCTAGGAGGAGATATTATAAGAAGGGTCACATTCATCTGTATTTTTCTATAACCAAAATAAAAACTTAAAGTTGTCTTTTGAAGAGGTCAAAAACTACAGCAGAGATACAGGCGCATTACTTAATTCCATGCCCAGAGCAATCCAATATACACGTCATTCTTCAGTAATATGAATATGTCAACTTACTGGTTTCCATTTAATTCAACCAGGTTAACACCTGCAGCAGATGTTAAACACAGGATCCTTTAAAACTTGTGTGGCTGACAATCCGAGCCAGAATGCCATCCTTACTATACAGACGAGCAAGATTTGCATTCCATACCCTTCGCCAACAGTGTTTGGCAGCTATCTCCAACAATTGTACTCAGCTTAATATTCATAAGATGTACATCACACAGAAAATGCAATTACATTGTTGTTATATTCTTATACATTATTGATTTTTCTCTCTTGTGTGGAGGAGACAAATATGACAGGTTGATTATGTTTACTGCCTAAAAAATGCCAAAGTTGCCATTCACTGTAAGTCTAATGAGGTATCTAAATTCATCATATTATACATAGCAACCTATTTATCCAGGTCCTTTTATGTTCTAAACCATGAAATACTACAATCCTACTTGTTTATCAAGGTGTCTTAAAGTCCTCCTCCACTCAAACCCAATATTTTAGTTTTGGAATGGTAAATGGTATAATGTGATGGTGTTTTAGACCTCTTGGGGTCTCCAGCCACCACTAGGCCAGAGTCAGATTTATGGATACTCCATTTATTAGAACAAACAATACTTTGAGTATTTCGGCTAGACAGCAACACATTCATTTTTGCTTTCGTGTTGAAGCTTGGTGAAAGCTTGTTTTAATGTTATGGGCAGCACTAAGATCTGTAGTCAACATACACCGTTGAGAGCTCTGGGAAAATGCTATGAGGTAAGTATTCAGGCTGCCATCTTGGCTCTTATACATATACTTTGCCTTCAGTCCTCACTGATAAAGAACAAGCATAGATATAATGAATCTTTACATTTCTCACACTTCCATTTGCTGCATTCTCTGACTCAGAGCTATGGAAACTTCTCATGGTATGTGTACTTGATCAGCTCCGATGGAGCTGCTCAAACTTTGTGAAAGGCTTTGACAAGCATTTGAGGCAGCTGTCATCTGCCAATCTGATTTTAGCCTTACAAGTATAGTTGTTAGAGAAGAGGATGATGGCCAGGCAAAATCTAGAAGAAGATACATAAGGGGAATTTTTTCTCAAAACCGGAGCAGACAAAATCTAGAGCAGCAACAATTGGCAACCAATCAGCATCCACCTTTCATTTTCAAACCTTAACTGAACAAACTGAAAAGAGAAGCTGGTTGGTTGTCATGCACAGCTGCTCCAGATTTAGTTTTCTCCAGTTTTGATACATTCCCACCAATTTATTTTCAAAGGTTTTTGAATACCTGAACATCACTTTGAGCTTGTTGGACACTCCATTCCAAAACCATGGGAATTTATATGGAGAAAGCCCCCCCATTGTGGTTCTAATGGCATCCACTCTTCTGGGAAGGCTTTACTTTTGGAGCGTGGCTGTGGGAATTTGTGCCCATTCAGTGAATAAAGCATTTGTGAGGTCAGGTGCTGATGTTGGACGAGGAGACTTGGTTCACAATCTGCTTTCCAAGTCATCACAAAGGTATTCAGTACGGTAGAGATCAGGGCTCTGTGCAGGCCACTCCAGTTCCTCCACCCCAAATGTTTCAAACCATGTCCTTATGGAACTGGCTTTGTACACAAAGGCACAGTCATACTAGCTGTCGGGACTCGAGCCGCGGTCCGGTCCTGGCTGGGCCGTCTGATGCAGGGACACGGCACCCGGTGACAAGGCGGCCCGGCGGGGCACGCCCACCAGTGACGAGGCGGCCCGGCGGGGCACGCCCACCAGTGACGAGGCGGCCCGGCGGGGCACGCCCACCTATGACGAGGAGGCCCGGCAGGGCACGCCCACCTGTGACGCGACGGGCTGGTGGGACACGCCCCTGTGCGTCAGGACGCCGCCCAGTGATGTCACTAGGGCTATAAAAGGAGGCACAGCACTCCCAGTCATTGCTGAGTGCTCTTCAGCCTGTGTGCTTCAGGTCTGTTCTGTTCCCTGCTGTGTTCTGCATTATATTTGACCCCTGGCTTGTACCTGACTATTCTCTGGATCCTGCTCTTGCTCTTAGTATTTACCTGGCTTCTGACCCCGGCTTGTCCTTGACTATTCTCTGGATTCTGATTTGGCTATACTCCCCCTCTCTGGCTTCTGACCTTGGCTTGTCTCTGACCACTCGCTGGATCCTGCTGGCTACTAGTATTGCCTCCTTGGTTGTTAACCTAACTTGCCTTGTTTCCCACAGTGCTAGATTCCGCTCAGCGACACCCAGGATTTCATACCGGCGCCCGTGCTGCTCTTGCCTGTGCCCCCTGTTACACTTCAGGGTTCCACAGACGGAACCGCAAGGGAGGTCCTCCTTATCACTTCGGGCCCGCACCACGGTACGTGACACTAGCACATAAAATAACCTTCCCCAAACCTTTGTCCCAAGCTTGGAAGTGCACAATTGTCTTTGTATGTTGAAGCATTAATAGTAATCTTAACTGGAGACACCTGTAGTGGGCAATCCATGGATTTGTATCTTCTTTTTAAAGAGCCAGAGCATCAAAACTAATAATGTCAGGGTTTGGTAGATGCTGGACCACCTAACAGTTTCTAATATCAATTAGGAATTGTATTGGTGAGATCTCTGTGCTGAGTTCCTGGCTCTGCACAGCTGCTGTGGCCATTATGATGGGCTCCCACTCTCCCTGTTAGATGTAAAATTTATTTTGTATTATGGAGAATGCAACAGGATGAACTGGAACACAAAAAGGTAACCAGGAACACCAAAACTCCCAGGTGGACAGGAACAGATTCAGGGAATGCAGGGAAATCACACTGTTGGAATGTGTGCGAGATATATACTGTAAGTCCCACCAATTTGCACCTATAACTAAAATATCACTTTTGTGTGGGCTTGCCCTTTCATTTTACAACACCCACTAAATGTTCATGCACTAAATCTGCATTAAACCAGAAGGTCTGCTAAGCTCTTTGCCTGGAAAACTTATTAAAATGGTGGCACTCATATGGAAGGTACCATTACCATTTACCATGCTAAAAATTACAGCATGAGATTTGGTAAATTTGACTTTGCCAAACTTTAACATGCTGTAGTTTCTTGCTTTTAAACAAGATACTGCTTCAGCTCAAAGGGACACTCCAGTCAAATCTGGGAATTGTGAAAGCGAACCAATTTCAACTACCTTCAACCAGAGATTTCGATAGACAAAAAGATAATAAAGATAAAGGAAACCAATTACCAACTGTTTATATTAAAATGCCAAACAACTGCATCTGTTGGTGTTAGACACCATTATCCCTTTGATATTTTTTTGCAAACTAAAATGAGTTGAAATTGCTTAAAATATGCCTCGTGTATCCTCCCAAGACCTCCTGCTTTCCAGCTCCCTTGTCAACTCCTTCCATACTCGCCTCCAGGACTTCTCTAGAGTCTCTTCCATCCTCAAACTCTTTACCCCAACCTGTCCCTCTATCTCCCACCTTGACTGCCTTTAGGACTAAGGCCTAAAGACTCATCTCTTCAGTGAAGCCTATCCCACCTTAACCTAAATGCTGAACCATCACATTCTCAAACAATTCATCCCCACACAGCTACCTCCTCATGTATCACTTGCCCCTCCCTTCTAGATTGTAAACCCTCACGGGCAGGGCCCTCTATACCAGGCCCTCCTTACTATCTTGTTTTGAATTGTATTGTGATTGTAATGTCTTCCTTATATTGTAAAGCGCTGCGCAAACTGTTGGCGCTATATAAATCCTGTATAATTATAATAATGTATGGCCAGCATAACTGTCACCCTTGTATTTCTCTAATGTTCTATTTGCCAGCATAGCTACCTTCTGAGTTGCCCCAGTATATTCTATAGTTGAGACATGGTCCTCTTACTGAGTGCATTACAGTCTTGTACACACATTGTAGACAACTGTCTAAACTTCTACGGTACCTACAGGCAGTTTGGAAGGTTGGCTAATCTGGTTAAAATGGATCATATAACTATTAGAAAGATAAATCGAGTGTGCTTTCTAACCTTAGCACAGCTGTAGTGTGTCTTGGCTATCACAAGCAGTTTACTGATGATTTTACTTGCTTCCTAGAATTTTATTAAAGACAATCTTGTGACCCACATGACGAGCTTTAGTAAACTTCCTTCCACATGAGAGTTCTGTGCTCTACATATTTTCTGTGGAGTGTCAGGCTAGGAAATCCTCTGGGCCTTTCACACTCCAGAGGTTCCACAATCAAGGTCTTCCCAGACTGTATAAAACCAGATGAGAAAAAGAAAACAAAAACCTGGCAAACATTTCTGTTTCTTACCTCACGATTATCAGCCACAATAACAAGCTCCACATATTTGGTCATCTTCAAAGTGTCTCTTTTGTGCTGCCAAAACAGATAATATAGAAGTTCAGTGTGAGTATTATGAAGCACGGCTGTTCATTTCCAGTCTAGACCCTGACTGAGCAAGTTTGCGTCTCGCAATTTAGCCTTCCAAATGTATTTCCTGGCTCCAATTTCTGAGAGGTAATAAGAAAGTGCAGAGGCAGAACCAGAAGGCACCTGATGTCTTTCTACTGTCCATGATATGATTTGCTAAAACAAAGCCTTTTTAAAAAAAAAATCTTATTTGCATTAATCGTTCTTTTGTTACAATTTACACAATTAAAAGATCTTTTAATACAAGTATAATTAGACTTCTTCATCACTCACTTTAAGATTTGTGTTTAAAATGAACTAGTAGAATAACAATGCAATGAGTCCTCTATTAGTGTTAAGTCAAGAAAATACTTTTTTTTAATAACCTATAATAAAGAATAATTTAGTAAAATTACATTTCGTTTCAATAGCAGCCGATGAAAATAGAAAAGCATTTATAAAAATTATTAAATTACCACTAAGACTGCTTTGTAGGGGCCATGAGCAATATAAAGGTATGAGGTGTGTTTTCTCTGCTATAGGTTTTCCATAATATGGATTTTACACCAGCATAATAAAGGTTTTTAAATTATTTGAAATGCTGATTGAATCACTTACGATACAGTAGATGTTGCTACTTGAGGTTTAGAAGGTTCAGCTACCCCTTTCCGTCTGAGTTATAACATCGTTGGTAATCTCCCTCTCCCACAAACAGGAGTATTTCCTATATTTAATCCTATTTACAGGACAAAAGTGCAAGCTTTACATTTATATCCATCCTCAATTGGGAGAGGGATTTAAAACAATCGTTTTCCATAGACCAATGGCAGAAGGCAATCAAATTGAGCTACTCAGTTTCTAAATGTGTCGACCATTGGGAAAATTTTATGAAAATCTTACATAGATGGTATATGACTCTATATAAATTGGCTCAATTCTACCCAGATGCATCACCAATATGTTGGAGACAATGTGGATGTATTGATAATCTTCTTCATATTATGTCTTTGAAGTTTTTGAAACTCTGTATTCTCTCCCCTCTTCAAAATCACAGGGGTAATTTGACCACCATCTCCCCAATTAGCATTATTGAATATTGACATTTACTCCTATCCTCAAGAGTTCAGAGTCACGGTGACGCATGTTCTAATTGCTAGTAGATTGGCTATTTCGAGCATGTGGAAACAGTCCAGTGCACCTTCTATCTCTGATGTTGTTTATAGAGTCAACATTCATTGTCAATACTAAAAAGGTTTAGCCATTAGGGATGGTCATTATGATATGTTTACAACTAATTGTGATTCATGGGATAAGTTATCTTCACTCACTCATTGCACATAACTGGTTGTGCTATATGAGAAATTTGTATTACTTATATGGTCATTGTTTAGAGGTGCAAGCTCCGTTATATTTTCTTCTTCCTACCCACTTGTCTCCATTCCCTCTAGTTTAGCAACTCTAGATTTCTCCTGTTTCTTTTTACATGTGTCACTAGTTTCACCAGGTACATGGTATAAATCATGATTATTTTCAAGACCCTAGTTCAAGGAGGAAATTCTCCCCGTTATATGCAATATTAATGGTAATCTATAACTATACCTAAGATGTTGTTGTGTGCTGTGTGAACAATGTGTATACTATTAATCTTGTATGATCTGTGTTACCGATACCATTTTGATAATTATTGTACAACCTAATGCTATGCTGTACCTGATTGTTACTCCAATTTTATACTTCTTTTCAATAATAACTCATGATTATAAAAAAAAATAAAAGCTACCTGCAGAATTAGCTGGTCCCTTGCGCCCTGGCCTTGATATCCTGTTTTAGGGTGGCTCCTTTCCCTTGCAACCACCTTTGTGTGTGTTAATAAGCTGTGTATGTCTCCACAACACACACAGGCACAGCAAGGCAAGCCACTTCTCTCCTCCCTTCTCCAAGTAGATAAATGGCTGTTGCATACTGTGATGTCCCTTGTAATCTTGGACTCAACAGGTAGTTCCGGGAACCGGAGCTGAGAGAATGGGAGCCAGCTATTTGGAAACGTAATGACAGTAAGTCTGTGAAGGTTCTCATTCATCCAGGTCATGATATATCTGTAAAAAATAAGTCAAGGCAACTGGACTTGCTGTATTTTTCTTGAAGACGTTTCACTGGTCATCCAACCAGCTTTCTCAATTCAGAATGACTTGTCCAAAAATTCTCTGGGAATAAATATGGTGAATGTTCATAAATATGTTCACCAATCTTTATTCCCAGAGATTTTTTGTACAAGTAATTCTGAATTGAGAAAGCTGGTTGGATGACCAGTGAAACGTCTTCAAGAAAAATACAGCAAGTCCAGTTGCCTTGACTTATTTTTTACAGCTATGTAATGACAGTAAGTGTTTGGGCAAAAAATGAAAAAAATATACTTTGCTGGGCTGTATATTTGTTTGATGTGAATTCATTACTGAAAAAAGTTTGAGAGTTTAATACTACTTTAAGAGAATATTTGGGCATGAAAACAGAAAAAAAAAATATTCAGTACATCTGTGCAGTACATGAATGTTTTTACATGTTCTATCCCTTAAAAAACACTGCAAGTGCAAACTAATACGTGTTGATCTTCTAGAGATCCATTGTGCTCTTAACTTCCTGCTTGTGTCTTTTCTGCAATAAATCCCAACCAACGTTATCAGTCCTGCCTGCTGGATTACAGAACTTTTCCTATCCCTCACCTATCTATGTCCCTCTCGCCTTGTATACATTTATTTCTTCACTGCAAAGAGGGTAGGGTTTGGGGGTAAATTTAGGTAGCGTCTGGACATATCCATTTACCTAAAGTGTATTATAGCTGTAAGGCTATCCATTGACTAAAGCAGAGAGATATACGCATGTCCTTTGACAAGTTGCTGGAACCCCAATAATAAGAGAGGGGTGCACTCTTATTATCTTTTTATGTTTTTATCCCCACTCCTCTCCAAGAGGAACTAGCAAAATCTTCATGTGTGACAGTAAACAGTTCCAACAGATGAAGGAAACATTTAATATGGATTTGAAAAGAGATCAGAATCATTGCCATCATACCATTTATTGTCACCATAAGGAGCCAGTGTCATCAGGCTTTTGATCAAATAAGCAATGCATCTGCCCCCATATAAGTCTATGGGAATACAAAACCCGCTTGAAACAGGTCAAAGCATCTCAAACTGATGTCAAAAGTAAGCTGTATTTGCCCATTGAAGCACATGGATCCTGCTATGTCTTAGGATGTCTTTTCTATAGCTATTGCTGCTGTGTTATTATTGACACAGAACACAGACAAGTTTATTTTCCTCTCTCGGGCAGCAAATACACAATCTTACTCAGGTCAGCCACTAGCAGCGAGGAAAGGAAGCCCTGTTTAAACCCCAATTAAAGCTGAAGTTTAATCACCTCATGTGTTGCCTTCTGTCCTCCCTGCCTCCCTCTCACTAACATGCTAAATACATTTTTAAATAAAACCTTAACATTTTTCATTAAATACCTTATTTTAGACCCATTTATGTCATCAGCCAAGCCAAACGTTTTGGTTAGAGTGGTGAAGGATTACAACCCCTATCAGGCTTTAAAGCTATCTGTGGCTGCGTTAGAGAGATTTCCCCTTACTGCCCTGGGGAACCACCTTTTTACCACACTGCTAGTAGGAGAAACTTTCTAACAGCAAAACACAGGGCAAGAGCCTGCACAAGACTGAATATAAGGCTGAAGTTCAGCTTTAACTGAACTCTCTCTTCCAGTACTGGGCCAACCATCTAGCTCCAATATTGTCAAAAGAGGAAGGCAAGTGAGTAAAATACTCCTCCATAGCCAGAAAGCCAGTTATTTTCTATGCTTTCAGCGACTAAAGGGAGCAGCAGAAGAGTGAAGAAAAAGGCATTGCAGGGGTTTGCTTTACAAACCTCTGCAGCAGCAAGAAGCACAGCATGTATTCTTTAGCCTGTGACTCTAAGTTCTGGATTGACATGCACGTTACTGGTAAAGCAAATGCAGCACAGGTGGGGATTTTGACCAACCCGTGATATCATCAAGTAGGGCAAGTTTTATTACATTTGCTTCAGTAACAGTGTCCTTGATGTCTTGCCCATCTTTCACATGTATTATAGAGATGATTAGGTCAAGTGGCCAATGCAGTCTTAATACACAACCTCTTGAAGAAGGGGGCTGACACTTAATTTTGATGCTCCTTCTATCTTATTACAACAATTAAATGAGCATGAGTGGATTGACTGACCTGTGACATCAGCAAGGAGGGCAGGTTCACTTGGGGTGCATGGTCTTTGATATCTGGTCTGACTTATACTGGCAATTAACAGATAAAAGGTCCCCAAAGGGTACCGCCTCCTTAAAATAATCCTCCTTTATAGGGATGCACCGATACCAAGTACCGTACTCGGTACAAGTACAGATACTTTTCCAGCTCCAAGACTAGACTAGAGAAAAATTCAAAAAACTTAGGAGGCAGCTGTCATTTGTACGGAGCACACGGAGCTCCTGGGATTTGTACATCTCTGTTTTAATGTACGATTTTGTTTTTATAAACATATATAAGGGATACACCAATACCATTTTTGCAAGTACAAGTACTGATACTTGTCCAAGTACTCACAGATACAAGTACTGATACATTTTTGTTTATTGTCATGTGACAGTTTTTCTAAAACAATATTGACTAATGATTTCAGGACAGTGGTGGAGCGCCAGAGCCAGGTCCCAGATGCAACCGCTGCAACCCTGGTGGTTCTCATTAAAATGCCAAGTATCGCCACTGGTATATGAACTGGTATCAGTGCATCCCTACTCTTTTATATCTAAGGTTTAGATATGCTTTAAATGATCACACTACTATATCAGCTGAACGTAGAGTAAAACAAAGAACTAAGAAAGAGGATAACTTAGTAACTGTGTGTCCTGCCCATTAGTATGCTAAGTAAAACACCCAGCAT